TAAAAGGTGATTTGGTGGTCAGGTTGGTTAAAGTAATAAATGAATTAGAATTTTTATTCCAAGATAGATAGTGATTTGAGTTAAGAATTAATAAAACGAAACATAAACAGAATTATTACTGTTTACTGCCTTCTTAATTAAAATAAAAATAAGAAATGTACTGTCACCTAATTAAAAATCTCTCTTGATCCTTTTTTTTATTTTTTACTTCGCATCAACATATTAGAGCAAGTGATCCAGTTGTCAAATATCCGTGGTATGAAAAAGTGAAAGAAGTTTGTCTAGTTTAAATTACTCACTGGATCCTAAGACGGTTGATTAGACCGAACCACTAAACCTTTGGACAATAAAAGTATAATATTAGTGTTAAATTACCCCATCTCGTGGTTCATAAATCACAGCTACTTTCAGGCCTGGCCAGAACGTCACATATGTGTATGCACTGTCCAGTTTACATAAGTAATTAAGGAGATTCATTTTTTAATGGCTTAGAACCGAAATAGATACTCGTACGTGCATAGACACATACACAACTGTAGTAAAGTAATCACATAAACACACATTATATACAAATCTATATAAATTTATACACGTATTTTATATAAAAAATTCACAAAAACTCTTATGAATACATTTTACATAGAAATTTACATAGACATTAATTATGCGCACTGTACAGCGCACAATAAGGTTCAGAAATTTGCACAATAATCAATATAGCTATAAATATATAATTTTACGTATAACTTAGATATAGTGATTAAACGTATATCTATACAAATTCAATATAGGAATCGCGTGTAAAATTCGATTATAAAAACACACATTTTGTAACATCGTTTTTACTAGCCATATAAATATATCGCCACAGACTGGAAAAGAATTAGTGTTGTATTTCTTGAGTTACGACAAGTATACGATTACTATGTTAATAGCTGCACACATCATATATTATGAAAATATATTCGTGGTCGATGAAAAAAAACACTTGAAGTTCGTGAAGAGTTGATAAGGATGAAAATAAGAAGTTGGTGTTGGTTATCATCATTTACATATAGCAGAGAGCAGCGAAAACGTGAAACTGAAGAGAAAATGGAATAAAAGTGACAAGAATTTGAATTAACTTAGCTAATTCGTTTAATTTCTCCGCTCAACCACCAGCAGGGTCGTCGGGACTACATTTTAGGTCTCTTGCAAGATATTTAATGGGCCGGGTGTATTCTAGTAGTTAGTAATCTCGGACTGTGAATCATGGGATTCCTGGTTCACGACCCATTGCCACAAAAAAATTCTCCGCACTTTGGGGTTATGGGTGCGCTATAAGGTTGACGATCGACTCTCACTATTCGATCAGAGAAGAGTGCGCTAAGAATTGATGGTGAATGCTGTTGACTCGCTGCCTTCTATCTCCAGTCTATTCACAGATAGCCTTTTTTTGTAGCTCTGCGTGAAGTTCTGATACAAAGAAGAAGAGGTATTTATTGTAAGTTCCTTTCAATACACAAGTTTGTCGAGAAAATGGGAAATTTGAATTACATTCTTAGAAAGGTGTATTTTATCTTTTAGGTATTTTATACGGATATTAAATGCTCTTATTAAAAATTCTTCACCAATAATAAGAGTGTCCAATCCTGAAGTCGCTCAAGAGATAGATTTTAATGAACTTGTGACATGGTCATAATGTCTGTTAGGTTCCGGTAGCTAGGAGTACTGACGACGGTCAGTTTATTTGTTAATCATTACAAAGCTATGCAGGCCTGGCATAGCCAGGTGGTTAGGACGATCGACTGGCAATCTGCATCCCATCAAACATGTTCGCCCTTTCAGCCTTGGGGGCGTTATAATGTTACGGTCAATCGTACTATTCGATGATAAAAGAGTAGCCCAAGAGTTGGCGGTGGGTGGTGATGACTAGTTGTCTTTTCTCTAGTCTTTCACTGCTAAATTAGGGACGGCTAGCGCAGATAGTCCTCGTGTAGCTTTACGCGAAATTCATGACCAAACCAAAGCTATACATTGGGCTATTTGTAATGTGCATATTGCAGAGATTGTTCCCTGAAATTTAGCGTTATAAAGCCTCAAGCTTATTGCTGAGCCATAATGAGAAGTGAAGAATACTCTGAATTGATCGAGATTTTATATTTTATTACAGCTGTATAACGTATAAATATCCAGACTAAAAATAAAGAGTTAGGGTACATCATTAAAATCTGATCACAGAAATAACACGTTTTTTTTATAACAAAATTCGTGTGAGTAACAGAAAACCTGACAATAGAAACAGCTCGGGTAATTCATTAACCAAACTGCATTCAGTGGCACAGCAGTGAGTCTGAAGGCTTATAACGCTAAAAACCGTGTTTTGATACTCTCGGTGGGCATAGAACAGATAGCCCAATGTGTAGCTTTATGCTTAACTACAAACAAACGTTAAAAATTTGATGGGATAAACAACAAGATTACTTATGAACAGTGAAGGTAAGGCATTAGAAACAAGAAGATTAGCTATGAACAGTTAGGGTAAGTGATTAAAAATCTAATGATAAAAACAAGATTACTTATGAATGGTTAGGGTGAGTCGGTAAAATTCTGAACAAAAGAACAACAAGATTACTTATGAAAAAAATAACATAAGTCTTGAAAAAGTTGAGGATAGAGACACCAAGATTATTTTTGAATTCTTAAGGAAAGTCATTACTTTAACTGTTGGAAAGAAAATTCTTCGCTTTGTGAAAATATAATTTAATTGTTCTCCTACATTCTCATCACGAGTTCGTTTCAGGTGCTTAAGTTTTACATTAAAGTTGCTAATTTGCTTGCACACGTGAGATAACCAATTAAATTTATTACATGACAGATAATCAATTAAAATTATTACTGAGATATATGTGTGTTTATTGTGCTTATCAAACCTTATATTGGACAACACCCTTTTCTGGCATGTAATAAAGATTGCATTGCATCACTTCAAGTTTAGCAAGCTATTGTGAAAACTGTCTTTGTGATCGCTGAGTAAAATGTATTTAATAACGAGCACTTCTCTTCCCCGCTTACAACACCGTGAGCAAGTTTCGTAGTCAACCTCAACCGTGTTGTGATTACAAGTTAAACAAAAGAAACTAATTTCATGAATATTTGTTTTAACAACGATGGAAGAAATTCGTAAATTTGTAAAACTGTGTGTTGTATCTTATACCTTGAATTAAAATTTTGTAAGAAAATAATATTTCCTTTTTAAATATTTCATTATTCTCAATAAAACTTCAACAAGTGGAATTCAGCTGTTGTCATGAGGAAACAAAGGTTGCTTCCCCAGTTCCCTCTGAAGATGTCAGTACTATATATATATTTCTAGTGGTAGAAAGCTTTCCCTATTGTACACACAGAAGACAATACATGATCAAACATCAGTATCGAGGACCTTAATGATAACTACAAATAAAAGTTTATACCAAAAAGGAGAGTCAACACTGACTTCAATTTATGATAGCTCTCATCTTAGAACCCAGGCGATAGGACTATTGTTCAATCTACAGAGATTATCGCCGTTGATTATAAAAGTTAGCCATGATCTATATTTGTTGCTGATTTACTAAACATTATCTTGGCGTGATCACTGTTTCAGTTTAAGAGCGAGAGCTGATGAAGCATTGTTAAATAAGATTGTTCGTATAGCTTTAATAGCAATTACACCGAAAAAATTAATGTTTTTAATGCTCTTACTGAAACAGAACTGTACTTTGACATTATTTTTAGTTTATAAAGTTGTGTTTCAGTAGATTGTTAATATAGTTGTGTTTTGTTTCAGTAGGACTGTCAATAAAGTTTTGTTTAAAGTAGGATTGTTATTAACGGTTTAGTTTGATTTCAGTATATTTGTTAATAAAGGTACAGCTCTGTTTCAGAAGGATTGTTAATAAAGTTTGTTTTGTTTAAGAGGGATTGTTAAAAACGTACAGTTTTGTTTCGTTCTATTAATACTGTTGATAGATGTTTAATTTATTTTAGCAAGATTATTAATAAAGGTTTTGTTTTAGTAAGATTTTAAACAAATTAACAGTTTTGTTTCAGGAAGATTGTTAATAAAGGCACAGTTAATACAGGAATAGTTTTTTGTTTTTCAGTAGAATTATTAATTAATGTACAATTTTGTTTTAGTAGGGTTAATAAAATTGTGTTTCAGTAGGATTGTTAAAAAAGCTTAAGTTTATACATTGTATCGGTTAATTAAAATATTTTGTTAAAACAATTACATTACTAAGAGGTGATATAACTACAAGATCTAGAAAATATAACTGTGAACCCTAAGATGGTATATATCTTAAGACATACAAAACTGGTAATAATTCTAATTATGTCAGTTAGCAGACCAAATAGGGTGCAAGACACAACATTACATTACTCAATAACTGTGTACTTATATCATAAAGGTGCAAAACTAAGCTTTTAATCATACTACAAAGCATTTCATGTTCATCATGTGGGTTTAAAAAAGACATTATATCATTCAATAAAGAATTTAAAATACATCTTCAGGACAATACTAAAAATGTTGCTACATTGTTGATTTTTTTGCCTGTTTCTAAGCGACTAACAGAAATTTTGGGATGGTTTTTTCCTTTCTATTATTTTACGATAAATTTACTTAGTCCTACTTCGTTTGTTTCACGCAAAGCAACGCAAGGGCTTTCTGCTTATAGCATTCTTTAATTTTGAGCTCATGCACCAGAGGAAAGATCTAGTCAACAACAACTATCATCACCTCTTGTCAGTGTGAATAGAGGGATTAGACCGTCACTCATATTGAGCATCCTCGGATCCGTAGTGTGGAGTACGTTTTTTGCATCATCAGGTTTCGAGCCATCAATCTTCGAATTCGTAGTCCAAATATGCTAACCATAAGCCACACACGAGCAAAGCTTTTATTCTGTGGTTTTGATTTATAACGAATGAAAATTATTTATACAGAACGAGTCCAAGTAATGATTTTATTTTTCCAGATAATTTTCCATCTGTGAATCATCAATTACTGGCGAACATTCTCTCCGAGGACTGAGCTGGTATCTTCGGCGTTTAGTCTCCAAATCCACAACATACAAACTTACATATGTTCTTGTAGATTCATAACTACAAATATAAATTCGATTAATCATATAATCTTAATTTTTCTAACCTCTTTAGATGATGAAATTAGTTGTTGCGTTGCTGTTCAACTTATGCTGTTGTTCTATATAAATCTAACGGTTTTTTTTTTCAAACAGAACTGTAAACTAAGTATCTTTTAGTGATAGTAAAAAACGATTATGTGGTATGAATGAACTTCTGATGTAACAAAAATGATCATTAAAAACCTTGAAAGATTCGTTGTTCTTCATTTTTCATCTAAGATTATTATACGTGATAATGACATTCAAACATGCAATTCAGAAAATTACACGTTCATAATTCTCGATTTGCTGATTATAAATATTTCAGCACAGAACCTTTCTTAATTCTGACATCGTTTTGTGTCGCCTTAAATGTAAGCTTTTCTGTAAAGCAAATATTTCCGGACACTCTTTTTTTTATAACATTTAAATGTTACTGCATAAAACAAAAACATTTATTTTTAACAATGTTTTTAAGGTCAAACCAACAAGAGCTTTAATATACATTGAAACGTTATAAATACTCCACAACGATTTCTATCAACTCACGAAGAAACTTTAGCAGACTGAATAAGTTATTTATTGACTCTATATATTTATAATAAGCTGCTTAAAGTTCATATTACGGGTGTAAAACACAACATTACATTGTTCAATAGCTGTGTAATTTATCTCGTATAAAGTATCTATAGTACAAATTATGGGTGTAAATAAACCATTTTATCATTCCACGAAGTATATATTTAGGTTATATTTGGAATATTTCGGTTAAATAGGAAATTCTAGGATAAAGAGTCTGCATAAAAAATCTCTTGTTTGTTCACGTTGTTAAGGTGACATGACATAGTGACATGCTGCATGACATATCTAAAACAGTTGGCCTAAGGAAAATAAAAGATTACAATGATCTTCTCAGATATTCACAGATTTTAACAAAAGTTTCATCTGTTGTAGAAATGATGGATGGAGATGAGAAAGTATTAGTGTCAGTGTATGGAAGAAATACAGAGACAGATACACTAGATAACCTTCGTTAAAAATGGTTTTGCGAAAAAACTACAACCTCTATTTCATTTGCCTCCCACATCTGTAGCTGCACAGTTTCCCAGCATGCATCAAGTTAAGGTGTGAATGGACAGTGATCAGTTGCCACTACCATTAGAGTGGGGAGGGAAGCTTTCTGGTAATCTCTGCACATCCATATTGACTGACCTTCCACCAGCAACACAATACCTATTAGAAGGACTAAGATGTAAAACAGACTGTCAAACTATGAAGTGCGCAAATATGGACTTGAAAGCACCACAGCATGTAGCGAGTGTCATGGCATCACCTGCTTGAACTCACCCACTGAAACATATGATACCATTGATTTCGATGACTTTGCTGCTGCTGATGATTGAATTTGGATAACTAATATTGGGTGAACCTTTATCTAGAATTATTGTATCTTAATATACTTTATGTAAATAAAATACATAAAATGAAAACGTAGTGCACGCTGTTTTTTTTTGGAAATAATTAATCAATATTATGTTATGAAGATACCAAATAAGCAATTTCATTATGGAATAGATAACATTAAATACGTTAGGGAATTAAACATCTTTTTAAATATTTGCAAAACTAACAATTTAATCGTAAAAACACGCCTAATGTATATAAATAATGGAAACCATATTCGACAGGCTGTTCTCAAGGTGCAATGGCCTAAATATACAAATATGCAAATTCCATATAGTTTGCAGGAGTTTATCTTGGTAAGTTTTAGATATGTTGGTATATGGACCTTACTAAAATGCATTGTGAAAACCTTTTGTCGCTCTTATTTTGACCTTTTGACCATAGTTCTCTTGTATTAATACGTTGCATGTAAAGTTCATTAGTTTTAATTTCTATAGTTATCTAACGTTTGATCAGAATATCGTGATTTGAAATTAAAATGTTGCTGAGAAATATAACTAAGGGTTACATTGAAGGTATGCTGAGAAATATAACTAGGTGTTACAGTGAAGGTATGCTGAGAAATACAATTAAGTGTTACATTGAAAGTATACTGAGGATTACAGCTGTTGCACAGAAAAATTGATCTACATTAAACAGAAGTAAGAACTTTAATTTTATTTCGTTTGACTTACTAATCTACAATCATTACTTCGTTTTAGTTGATTCCTGGAGCCATACGAAAGGCAAATTATTTATTATAACTCAAAATAAAGCGTTGTTTGCCACTCTCAATTATCCTGCTGACACTCAAATGAATAAAGATATTATGAATAATTAATAGAGATAAAAATAAATAAAGATATTATGAATAATTAATAGAGATAAAAATAAATAAAGATATTATGAATAATTAATAGAGATAAAAATGAATAAAGATATTATGAATAATTAATAGAGATAAAAATGAATAAAGATATTATGAATAATTAATAGAGATAAAAATGAATAAAGATATTATGAATAATTAATAGAGATAAAAAATTAATAAAGGTATTGCAAATAATTAATAGAGATAAAATGAATAAAAAATATTATAAACACACATTCTGTTAACCACATTAACAACAGATTATTTTCTAAAATCATAAAAAACAGTTTGCAACAAGTTTCAATTTGTCCACGATATTATGACTACACGTAAACTGGGAAAAACGCTTACATTCTACAAGTGCTACAATGTTATGACTCTAAGAATCAATACTAGATAGAGAGAGATCTATCTTCGAAATCTGTACAAAGTTATGACTGAACACATAGCCCGAGGGCAAGGCGTCTACACTCAACAAGCGTTACAACGCTATGACTCTAAGGGGTCAACACTAGGATGAGAGAGGATTATCTTCCAAAACTTCACAATGTTATGACTGTGCGCTCAACCTGAGGAGGGTTTCCGTATGATATCGATCATGGTTTTCTATTCTGATTTTTTAAGACATTATCTGGGGATTCAGGGCACTTTCAAGTGGAATCGGAGAACGAGTCCCGTGTGCCAGTGCCTAGCGACGCCTCTGGGCTCAACACTAGGAAGAGAAAGGTCTATCTGACAATAATGTTAAACTTATATGACTGTACGCTCAACCCGAGGAAAGGAAGCTTACCTTCAATAAGCGCTACAATGTTATGAATCTATGGCTCAACCCGAGGAAAGGAGGCTTACCTTCAATAAGCGCTACAATGTTATGACTCTATGGCTCAACCTGAGGAAGGGAGGCTTGCCTTTAATAAGCGCTACAATGTTATGACTCTATGGCTCAACCTGAGGAAGGGAGGCTTGTCTTTAATAAGCGCTACAATGTTATGACTCTATGGTTCAACCTGAGGAAGGGAGGCTTACCTTCAACAAGCGCTACAATGTTATGACTCTATGGCTCAACCAGAGCAATGGAGAGATCTATCTTCCAATAATGTTAAAGCTGTATGTTTAACCAGAGGAATAGGAGCAAAGTCGATTGTCAGAATAAAAAAAAACATTTTTCATTCCAAAAAAAAAAAATAGTAATCGGAAGAAAACTGTAAAAAGTTACGATAATAAATGCTACCAAAAGAAAGGTGCCCTTCCGTAGGCAAGTTCCATAATGTTACAACTGTACGTTAAACCTGTGTGTGGTTTTAATAAATAAAGATATATGTAATCGATGAGGTCATTTTTCGTATCAACACCTGATTTACCTTAATCATTGTAGCAAGTTTATACACGTGGTTCCAGGAAATAACAAATCATCAATACAATACCAGAAGAAAAATCCTCCACGTAGTTCCAGAGAAAAACAAAACAAATACGCCATTTAGTTATAGGCAATAACATATCCTCCTCTTAATCCCAGTAACAACAAATCCTTCCTGTAGCTCTAGGAAACAACAAACTTCATGTGACTCCAGGAAAAAATCAACAACAAATACGCCATTTAGTTATAGGCAATAACATATCCTCCTCTTAATCCCAGTAACAACAAATCCTTCCTGTAGTTCTAGGAAACAACAAACTTCATATGACTCCAGGAAAAAAATCAACAACAAAACAACAAATCCTTGAAAATTTCCAAAGAAAAACAATTTCTCAAAGTAATTCCAGGAAACAATATGTTTACTCGTATTTCCATGCAAAAACAAATTCCCTACGTAGCACAATGATTCAGAAATCATTCCCGTAGTTCCAATAAACAACAAATCCTCCTCGTGTTTCCTAGAAACAATAAATGTTATACAGAGTTTCAATAAAAAACAAATACTCTCCGTAGTTGCAGGAAATAACAAACCCTCCATGTGATTCCATGGAATGACAAATGACAAACAAATCCCCAACGTAGTTCCAGAAAACAATAAATCGTTTTCAGAGTTCCAGTGGAAAAACAAATATTCCTCGTGATTTCAGAAAATAACATATCCTCCACGTGGTTACAGAAATCAACAAATCCTGCACATGTCTCTACATTTTGATTCACAAGAAAGCCCTCAGTATATTGTCAGAAACACAATGCAACATTAAATAATATATCAATTTGATTTTCATATTTGGGTGATAATTTTCAATGTCTTTCCAGTGGGGGGGGGGGTATTTATCATAAAAAGTTTGCTGCAAACAAGTTAAATGCAGTTCATGTGATATAAAGTGCATATAGATATAGTTACATCAAAAAATTGTAAATAAAATTTTTATTATTTTATAAGCCACTGTTTATTAAATGTTTATAACGAGTGGTACTTAAATCTTGCACTCTTGAATTCAATATGACATGATAAAAACAAAAATTAATTTATCACTATGTGCAGTAAAAAGTTCCGAATATTAAGCAATCTTTGTAATGATAAGTGATATAAAAATAATGAAAAGCTAACGGTTTGAATAACGATGTTCAAAACGTGAAATCCTTTCCTTTGCTAAAGCACGGGCGGTGTTGATTATTTAATAAATCGGGATCTCTAGATCCTCTCTAAAGTTCAAGAAATGTGGCGCGGTTTCCAGCTGGTAATTTAGTTTAATAAGTCTTAATTACAAGATCTTTTTCTTCTGGAAAGAAATCTTTGAAATGAAAATAACTTACGTTCTTCAAACTCATGAAACGAGTTTGCTGGTTAATACAAACTAGTCATCATGTTGAAAGTTTAGATTACTTAATACTAAGACCCAATGACAAAGCTTTTTTGTTATGCAGCGGCCAGTTTAAACCGTTTTGTAACAGTGTATAAGAAGTAATTTTAATGAGTTGTTT